CTTTTTTAGAAGTACCTGCTCTTTTCCTGACACAACCGAAAACCAATTGTTTCTGTAGCAGCGGTATGTTGGCAGTTTGAAATGTGGCAATCCACAATTCCCTTGTGTCGATTTGCTGATGAGCGCTCTCAGAAAGCAGGTGTACACGTCGAGTAGAAATCGCTAGGCTGTCTGTTATGAATGCAGCTCATCGTATTCCAAGCTTCCTTGTATTTGTTGACGGGCGTTCTTTAATACACATAGGCAAGTGTGTATATTTCATAAGATAGTGAACCGAGTCGACGTTAGGTCCTCGTTATGTACAGGCAACTAGAAAACTGGATACATGTCTTTCGTCTATCACAACGTGATCTATATGGTTATTGGTTTTTCGTATTTTCTTGCGCTGGTATCAAGTACTACACGCAACCATATTTCGTGCCCCTGTGAAGTCGATTAGCCTTAACCCATTTGGTTATTCTTTTGGGTATTCTTGGTGACGTCGTCTTTCCTTCCATCGGCTCATTGGCGAAAATCAGCGGATTGTGGCGAGGCGTTCATCCAACGGATAACGTGAAAGTATCAGACAGCTTTTAATTTAACGAATACATCAACCAACTGGATAGCGACACCTTCTCAATTAAGGAACCATGCATGTCCTCAAAGCGGTGGGTGGAAATTAAGAAGTCTGTTATATGGGAGAGAGGCAAAGTTGTCGCCCGATTGCGCCCAAATTCAATTCGTGATCATTTTAGATCAAGTCGCTGTATTTCAGTCCTGCTTTATGGTGCGGAGGCATTCAGCTGATGTTTCGACGTGAGGAGTTTTCTAGTGAAAGATTTTGCGTAAGAGCTTTGGTACTTTGCGAGATCGGAACGGCGAATATCGCTACCGATAGAACGATAAGCTGTACAAGATATACGGCGGCTGTGACATGGTTCAGCGAAATAAAAGTCAGAGGCTACGCTGGCTAGGTCTTGAGGTCCGGATGGATAAGAATATTTTAGCTTTCAAAGTTTTCGGTGCAGTTTTAGCTGGGGTTAGCAGAGGAATGGGAAGACCTTCACTCTGTTGGAAGGACCTGGCTGTATTTAGTATTTCCAATTGACGCCAAACAGCAAAAGGAAAGAATGAATGGCACTTCGTTGTTAACTATCATATTATATATTATGTCTAGTAAAAAGTAATCCATTATTTTTGCCTAAAATTGAAGTTTTTATTTATCATAGTTTGAATTATTCGATTTAAGTCAACTATGAACCGAGCAAAACTTGTTAACTTTTTGACAATTTTGAAGGTAATACCATTATGCCTCTCACATAGAAACCCTTGTACCTATTGGCGAGCAGCTGGGACAATCGATGACCACATTCTTCTCTTGAGGTGAATTCGTCAACAGTCAAATCATTCGCCGTAGATAGGAACAGATGGTAATCAGTTGGTGCGAGGTCCTTACTATAATTTGTCTGCATAAGAACCTCTCTACAAAGTTCTCCGAGCTTCTAGCGAGCAACTATCGATATGTGTGTTCTGGCGTTGTCCTGTTAAAACACAATCCCCTCCTGGGCGGCAAAGCAGAGCACTTCTGGGCGATTGTTCCTTCAGACGTTGCAAATGCTGAGGTGCAGGTCCGAATTAAAAGTTTGGCGGTATGGGAGCAGCTCACGATAAATGATTTCTTGGCAAACCCAAACAATAGCATTCAAACAGTGTACATAAAAATCTTCCTGGCTATAAATCTTGGCTCGGAGACTGTTAAATAACCGGCAGGAAATCGAAATTGATTGTCTGTTACAGTATGAGGAACTAACATTTTGCACATTTTCAGCTGGCTGACTTTCGTTTTCGCCTTCCGCGAAGAAAAATTGTAGACTTATAGAACTCGAACTAAAGCCATTCATTGCAAAAATAATGTTTTAAATATTTTAATTCGTATCCTCTTGTCGAAAATGCTTTTTATTTGAATATTTATACATATATATATACTGAAATAATAAAAAGAAATTATAAAAATTTCAATATTTCAAATCCAAGCACTTTACATAAGCCTTGAAACCATTAAGAAATTTTTCGTTAATTAATTTTCATAATTTTTTTCTCTCCCCAGAGCTCTAAACCACCTTTTTGAATTGGGTTTAAATCGTTGAAGATGTCTGAAGGGCAAAGGCTCGACGTTCGCTGCTCTCTGCTCGATTGCTGGGTGCTGCCTTGAAATTTGGCGACTGAATATTTTGTCATAACGAGTCAAACAGTTAGAAATTAAATGTAATTAATGCAAATAAATACAATAAAAAGAGGCTTTCAAAGTGAAATCGAAAAAAAAAAATTAAAACATTTAAAGCGACTTTCATTTTCAAAAGCTGCTGGGCGTATACTCGTAGAGAGAAATGAAGAATTTAATTGTGTTGCATCCTGAGGGTGTGTTTAACGCCTAATGTCTTTATGGGTGTCTGCGTGAGTGTGTATGTGTGTGTGTGTGTGTGGCCGATGTGTGATACATAAGAAAAGAGGAAGAAGAAACAAGGGCCGAAGCCTCAGGTGGTATTGGGGTTGTACAGCGATTTGCTGCGCCCGTGCATGGAGGCTCGAAGAGCAGAGTAGGAGAATTGGTTAAAAGCATTTTGAGACATGAAAATGCATTATGCCCCATAAACGGTGCGTAATGCAACATTTCGAACGTTAATTATTTTTGTTGTTGCTCCTGTTGATGCGGCTCAAAGACCACACGCGCGCAAACAAAACCAGCACATGATGCACTTGCACTTACTCGACACGGAGACACAAACCCAGACACTGAGTGAGGAGCTGGCTGGATGGTTGGTTGACTGGCTGTTTGGCTGGCATTGGCACCAGCATAAAGCGAGTAGGTGAAAGCCAAGTGGCGCATGTTGAAGGACAAACGGCGACAATTGCGTTCAGAAAGGTGTGCTGGCTGAGAGAACGGGTGTAAGCGGCTCGGCACTCGAGATTACCATAAAAGGATGCACTTAGGGGTTAGCACAAGTGCCATATTCGGCGATAAGCACAGCTTGTAGCCAACTGTCACAAGACGACCGCCTATATGGTCGACATACGAAAGATGCCAACTGCTGTATACAAGATGCGATGGGATGGGCGGCGTGCGAGTGGGTGAATGGGCGAGTGAAATTTATGTTAAGAATATCTTTGGGCGAAATTTAAGCGCACACAAATTTGTGGCAGACGAAGGTGGATGCTCTAAGTAAATTACAACGCATTAAACAGAGCCAAAGTACGGCGAAAATGACGGAACGAGCTGGGTGTTGGTGGGAGGGCAGCATGTTGCATGTACGCTTATGTCTATTTACATGGTACGGGTGAATGACACACAACCCAAAACAGGGTTGGAAATTTTGTTGCAAATATGCTGTTTGTTTATCGACGAAATACTCTGAGTAGGTATTTGGAATTTGCTGGAATTATCTGCGACGCATTACAGACCAAGCAATAGACACACAAGAAGCTGAAGAGCGCGCTAGGCGTGGAAGGAGTGGAGTGACTGAGCATTGGGTGAAGGTGGTAAGCGCAACAGCAAACACTTGAGTATACGAAGGCTCGCATGTGTGCTAAGATGCGCTGTTGGTGGCGGCGGTGGTGGCGGTTGCGGGTGTCGTGTTGTTAGCTTCTGTCTGCACGTTGGCTATGTGTATGCACGAAGACGTAGCTTAGCAACCCCCACTTGACTACGCACACTCGACGAGCTTCCGCATACGTGCATTCGCACGACGTACGCTACCGGGACACCGGTTAAGGTACAAGCATGCCATACGCACATGCACGAACTCAGTAGGGAATTCTGGCAGGCGAAGAGCATAGAAGACGGCTTAAATTCGCATATTGACAAAGCCAGCTCGCTGAGAGAAGAGCTTCTTCCTTGCTCGTTGCCCTTCGGTGGGAAAACTTGCCATAAGTCACACACGCACGTATGGGGTGGCAACTTGTCGGCGTTCGCTGGGTTGCTACGCATGCACGTGTCCAACATAATGCACTGACAGAAAACAAAGTACTTTGCAAATGCAGGCAGGCCCGCATGCAAAACAAAAGAAATCGAATCGAAAATACAACATAAATCCGGCCGAATTTGTTTATCAAAAAAACAAGCAAGTCATACATATAGCTAGCTAGCTTAGTTAGGCCATTGCCTCGCGACGAGGTGGTGTCATTTGCGGCCAGAGCGATGAAGTAACATTGCAAGCTCGCTTGTGGCACATTTATTTGTGGACGCGCATAAGCAAGCTTAAGTCCGCGCTTACCTACCCCACCAGAAAAAGGCTACAGCAGCGCCACTCACTAGTCTCGTCCTCAACGCTGCGCTTTTAACGAAGAAAAATGCAAGCGAACAAACGAAATCAAGTTGCCAGACATGTAAAGGACTTTCACTGATGCCGTCGCTAGCGTCTAAGCAGACTGCGCAGCGCGTCGCGAGCAGCGAAACACAAACGACGGCGTTAAGCTCTGCTCGCCGGCGTGTTTCGTGGCGCTATGTGTTTGAGTATATGTACATCGGTGTGTGCTCGCTGTGGAAAAAGGGTGACTAATGTGTGTGATGATGATTGCTAACAAAAGATTCCGGCTTTCCTGCGAAGCGCCACTGTGCGTCATGCTGCTACCGGCGTCGACCTTCGCAGTTCGTGTGTCGTTGGCTGGCTGACGCAGCTCATTTGGTTGCGCGCACGTAAAGGGGCTAAAAGGACAACGACTTTGAGGGATGAAAATTTATTTCCAATATAGCACAATACAACACAAAATAACATAGACAACACAACAACAACAACAATAAGAAAACAAACAAAACCATACGCTAGAGTAGAATTTCAATTTCGCTTTCAGTGGCTGTGGCGATATCCTTTTTGACTGGGGCGCCGTTTGCGTTCAAATGGTAGGGCAGTGACTTCGACAGCGCCGTTGGCACCGGTTGATGTACGCTGCTGACGTCGCTGGTGGCGTAGCATAAATAGCCGCGCCAGGATGTGTTGTTAGTCATTCGTAGTATAGACGTCGGCCCAGACAGGAGTAAACAAGGCGCACAGCACAACATAACAACACGGACACATACATACACACCGTTTAGTTAAATTCTATTCGTTTTGTTCGGTTTCATTTGTTTTCCCATACATAACTACATAGATTTTGTTTAATTGTTTGCAACTCAACTCAACTCAAAACTCGAACTCTCATATCAACACATCGTTAAAGCTCGTTTAAATGGTTGTTAAATCGGTTTTATTACTCAATATCGTTGTTGTGTTAAGTTGAAGTGAACCTCAAGTGCAAAGAAAAAAAAGAAAGAAGAATCCTTACGACAAACACCAACAAGTGCAATGGCTACAATTACAACCACAACCACGGCGGGCTCTACAGCCCAACACAGTATTGTACAAATGGCCAGCCGGCAGATGCCCCACGGCTTAGGTCTACTCACAACGGTCGCCTCGTTGCCGCCAAAGTATCGCAGTCGTTACCTAAATCTGAAAGCCAAATGTGAGATCCCCCTAGATCTGTCGGTGAAACCGAATTCACCTGTACCTAACACCAACGAAACCACCACCAACGGTGAGGAAATAGTCAACGATGTGCCTATGGCGAGCACGTTTACCGAAGTGTACACAGAACCCAGCCCGGTGGAAGAAGAGACGCAGATTGTGTCACAGGTGTTCAGCGAGACCAGCGAGGTATCACTAGTGCCCATCAGCCATGAGGAAGTTTATGTCTTGCAAGAAGCGACTCCTGCAGAAGAGGTGGCCGTCGTGACAATTACACAAATTGCCAAACCTATAACACCGCCATTAACGCCCACCAAACGTAAGCACGGCGTTATGTTAGCTGAGGAGCTGCAATCGAGCGCAGCAGTGTACACCGTGCTAGAGCCACCCAAGCCTGCGACGTTACGCGAGCAACCGGCTAAACTAGCAAAGACAACGATACAAACGACCACAAAACGCGATTGTACGCCCACAAAACCCATCAAACCCGCCGATACAGCGCCAAAAACCGTGAAAGCACAACCGCCCATCGCAAAAACCACGAAGAATAAGGCAACGCGTAAACTGAAATTTGATGAAGAGACCAGTTCGCCTGTGTCGGGCACAATTATACGACCTCTCGAGGATATCACTGAGGGTTCAGTGCAGTATAGCAATGGCGATATCGATCCCAAGTACAACATAGTCGAGATCACCGAGGAAACCAAAGCCGAATTGGCCGCTATCAAGAATGTTATCGGTGATTATGTGTGTAAATTGTGTCGCATAAAATTCGATGACGCCTTCGGTTTGGCACGTCATCGCTGTGCTTGCATTGTGCTGCTCGAGTATCGTTGCCCCGAGTGTGGCAAACAATTTAACTGCCCGGCAAATTTGGCCTCACATCGTCGCTGGCACAAGCCGAAGAAAGCGGACGGCAACGGCTCCACAGCCTCACGCAAGGAGAATCGCAATACAACAAATAGCACATCGCAAACGTCTAAGCCCACCGCCGATGAAACTGCCGAGCTGCCCTACCCTTGCGACATCTGCGGTAAACGCTTCAAACGTGCCGCCTATCTGCGTAAACACCAACAGACGCACAACAAGAAGCGTACCACTAGCACAACGAGCACGACAAGTGTGTCAAGTATTGCTGGCGCTACACCGTTGATGCCAGAGACGCCCGCTTTGATAGCAGATGGCGGCCTCTCGGCTGCTTCCACAGCGTTAATAGGTAGCACCTATCAATCCTACGCCGTCTCAACTGCATCTTCATCTGCCTCGAGCTTGCATTCATATTCTGGTGCCAACGTAGGGGAAGAAGTCATCAGCTATGCCGCAGCCAATGGTGGTTACATCGAATATGTGGACGATGAAGACGATGCGCGTTCCACTACAAGCAGCACGAGCTCAACGGGTTACGGACGCTTGCAAATTGTCGAGACCGGCCTGACGGAGGAGGAAAACATAGCCGCTGCCGCACTGACGAATTTGCGGAACTGCGCCTCGGTGATTCAGCACACGACACTGGCGCATTGATTGCTTTAATTGTGAAGAGCGTCGTTCGATCGCATAGGCCGGTCGCACGGACGGCTGTTTAGTTTGTTGTTTAGTGTGCATCGTACGATGGAAGTGGTAGTGGTAGTGGCAGTGAGCAAGTGAGCAAGTGAGCGTGGGTAAGGTGGTCGCATAGCGTAACTACATAGTGTTTGCAATGAGGCGTGCGAGGGTGCTCCGTACGTGCAGCAGTGCTGACAATGACGACGGGATTTGTGTTTTCCACGTAAACTACGTGAGTGGGCAGTGCTGGTGTTGATGTGTGGAGGGTGTTTTGGGTGGCGTTGGTTTCTGTAAATACTTTTAGTGCAACCGTTAAGGGTTGATTTATACGTTTTTCCCATTATGAAAGTTATGTTTAAGTTCCAAGCTATTTTCAATTCAATGTTGGGTTCTTTTGTTTTTGTATTTTGTTTTGAAGTTTTGTTTTGTTTCACTTTGTGCAGCACTACGACAGCTAAGTATACCAAAGATTAGTTTTTAAAAGCGTTGGCTTGGTGTTTTCACACGTTCTCTTGTACATACATACACGTCTGTGGAACACGCCAAGCGCCATTTTATGTTTTCTCAATTAATAGGCTTCTTCGGTTAGGTTTAAGTTTTTATGATTAGAGGTTAGCTTTTAGGTTAAAAACATTGTGTTAGCTGTAGTGTATTCGCGCTCAAAAAAGAGAAAACGAACAGAAGAACGAGCAGGTCTAGTCATGCGAATTCAAAAAAAAAAAAAAAAAAACTAGTCACTAATTTAGTTAAACTTATTTACAAATATCACTAACTCAGGATTTTGTAAAATCAGCTTTTTCAAAGATCTCAACCCAAACATCTAGTTCTAAGAAGCGTTCCAAGAGGAGCTTTGAGGGAAAATTATAGGCTCCCCTTTTAGTTTATATTTTAAAGGTATAAGCGAAGCACAGCGTGGGGCGAAATAGTGCAGTAAAACAATTTAAATTAGTTTAAAGGTCAAACAGAGCTTATCGCTCTCTCTCTCTCTTTCATACTGAAGAGCACCCCAAAAAAAACGAGTGTGAACTCTAGTCAACTTTATACGTAAGCAAAAGTAAAGATCTCTTTGAGAACTTATAGGTTTTAGGATATTATTAATTTACTTTAATTTTAGTAGGCATTTAGTTTCTAAAAGAAGAAGATGAAGAAAACAACAACACAACTCTTCTGGTGTGTTGGGAACTAAAAGACCAGCAAATCACTACCAAAAACTACACAAATACAAACTACGAAGTACAATACGAAATAATATTTAATAACTAACTAAAAGACTATCTAAATAATTTAAACAAAAATCTAGTTATTAATGTAAATATATTTAACTAAGCGGTTGTATACTTAAAGAAAGCAATGAAATGGAAATCTAACGAAATTCAAACAAATAACGAAATATCACAACGTTATTGTTCCTTACAACATAAATAGAAAGAAAACTTAGAACATAAAGAAATCTTTTAATATATGGTAAATTAGTTTTAAAAAGTTGTTTGAATAAATATTTTAAATATATTGTTAAGGACAACCAGGTTGTATTTGGCTAACGAGTAGTACAATACAGCGAAAATGTAACGCAAACAATACACTTGTACAAAATAAACTAAACAAAATAAAAAAATATAAAATAAAATAAAATAAAACGCAATAATGTAAAATAAAATAAAATAAATTGAAACAAAATATTATAAAATAGATTAAATTAAATAAAATAAAATAATTAAAACAAAATAAAACGAAAGAATGTAAAATAATATAAAATAAAGTAGAATGAAATAAAACAAAATAAATTAGAAAAAAATAAATGAGATTAAAATAAGGTAAAATAAAATTAAATAATATAAATTAAAATAAAATAAAACAAAATAAATTAAATAAATATAAAACACAATAAAATAAAAGTAAATAAAATAAAATAAAACTAGTTAAAATAAAAAAACTTAAAATAAACTAAAATAATATAAAATACAATAAAATAAATTTAGCTTCAACAAAATAAAACAAAATACAATAAATAAACCAAAAATTACAATAAACAAAATTAAAAATATAAAATAAATACAAGAATAAAATAAAATCAAACAAAAAGAAAAAAAAGGCAATTAAAGTAAAAGAAATGAAATTAAATACAAAGAAGGAGAATAAAATTTAATATCTTAAAATGCTTAGAAAATATTAACAAAAAGAAAATTTAATGGAACAGAACAAAAAAAAAAAAAAAAAAANAATAAAATAAAATAAAATAAAATAAAATAAAATAAAATAAAATAAAATAAAATAAAATAAAATAAAATAAAATAAAATAAAATAAAATAAAATAAAATAAAATAAAATAAAATAAAATAAAATAAAATAAAATAAAATAAAATAAAATAAAATAAAATAAAATAAAATAAAATAAAATAAAATAAAATAAAATAAAATAAAATAAAATAAAATAAAATAAAATAAAATAAAATAAAATAAAATAAAATAAAATAAAATAACACAAAATAAAATAAAATAAAATAAAATAAAATAAAATAAAATAAAATAAAATAAAATAAAATAAAATAAAATAAAATAAAAATAAAAAAATTAAACAAAAAACACTAACTCACTAATTGCATTTTGATATGCTTCTCACACAAAATAATATATATTTTTACACAAAACTTTTAAAGAATTAACAAAATTGAAGATAAGACTAATTAAACGAAAAATTCTCAAAATTCATATCTAAATAAAGTTTTTTTTTTACTAGTTTTGTTGTTGGCCTAAGATAAAATTCAAAGTTGCTAAATCAATTTATATCAACATTTAATGATTCAAAGAAACATGATATATAATTAGAATAATACATACATATTTTTATATTTAACTGTAAGTTATAGAGCATAGCATTTTATATTAATAATTGTAGTTAAGTTTTTCTTACATACATACATATATATAAGATTGTGATATTAAAAATTAGTAATTAATTAATTAACCGAAGAGTATTTGAGAAAACATAAGATACAATATTTATTTTTATACATACATACATACATATGCACAAAAGCAAATATTAGTTAAGTATTTTTCTACACACAATTTTGTAAACAAAAAAAAACTCGATATGAAATTTGCTCAATAATGACACAAACTGTGTAAGATATTAAAGAAATGAAATAAAGTGAAAAAAATTGAAAAGTATTGGGTTTTAATTTAAAAGACTGATGAGATGAGTTCACCTGAAAATTTTTTTGCTTTGCGACGTTTTTTCCTGGTCTTCATTATCCGAACATTGCGCTACTTCACAGTGGCACTTCTTGTGAAACTTGTTGTCTTCAGAGGTGTGCAAAGTGGTGGGCTACACCACCCCCTCTATGGCTTTCAAAACGAGAGTTAAATTCCAGGATCTGTCGTAAGACTGATGCCATCATAAAGTTGTTGTTATAACCGCAGAAATATTCCTCAAAATTATTGTTGCGGGAGTGACAGTCCTTGGCCGCATATAAATTCCGGGTCATTCCGGTATAAACACCCGACTTTCGCGGTAACTATTGGATTTTAGTCACCTCTCATGATAGGCAAGTCTTACCGCAGGTTAATTCTTGAACCCCTAACCCGCAGGGTTGCCATCATAGAGTGTAGTAGTATGGTGGCTCTCAATCGTTTAGGGAACAACCGTAGACTTTATAAGTAATATTCTTAAGACAGTGTAGATATGTATTACTTTTATGCTTAGATTGGGGATATATCTTTATGAGACAAATATGAGACTCCGGCTAGAATCATAATTGAAGTACGTAAAATACGTATAAATCGTTCACAGCCTAATGGTTGAGTGTAATTTTCTATTGGAACTCTCACTCAAGCAATCAGATAATTCAACGTATTCCTGGCAGAAATCTCTTATAACGTGTAAACTGTAAAGTACAGTGACTTAGGAAAACACATCTGCGCCTTTAGTGAACGTCAGTAGATCGAAACAAACTCGAAACACTTGTTGGACTGTCGCAGATCTCTTCAGAATGAGATTGAACAGAGGTGAACATACCTTCTTGGTACTTGGTAATAGAGACATTGAGGAGAGACCATCGTGCTCGGTCAGGTGCGAGCAATCAAATAGATATTATAGGATAAAGCAGGCTTTGAGAGGCAAGCTGGCTCTAGCCTCATGCAAGCTGTTGAGATAAGCCTGACCGATATGGTATCGGAGAAGATCGAATGGCTTATATGAAGAGAAAAACATTATATAAGTGAATGGGATGCTTACGGGACATTGGGACATTTTCTTATAGGACGGAATGCAAAAATGTTAGGAGGAAGAAACGGTTTTCCATCTCTTATGCGACCAATCAGTTCAAAGTACCAGTAGAATTCGGTATATTGCAGTCACTTACATAGATAGACTTTTCTCGTGTGGCAGAAATTAAATAGGCAATGTAATAAAGCTCATAAGTGCAATCCAAGTGGATGGAAAAGGTCAGAAAAATCTGCATGATATGGCAATGTTGACCAATTTTGCTTGCAAATCAATAATCATTGCTATGTATATATCTACCTATTGCTGCGAATGACTTCATGAGAGTCAAAATTCCCTCCATTGAGAATAAAGTGTAGAAGTTGCTTGGTAAAATCCGCCTAATTCAACTACTACTAGGGTGGTCTAACTAATTTAGCAAGTTAACTCGTCAAATCAACCTTTTTCCTTTAGATGATTTCGATGACGACTGAAAGTCTTTTAATGGAGTAAGCTCGTAATGCCAATGCGTGAATAAATCAAGTTACATAGCCACGGTAATTTTTTTAAGTGACCTGCGGCTATCCAGAAGTTTCTACAATACTAACAAACTAATTGTGCTACGATTTGATTAGAGAGATCTTCTTTTGATGCCGACCTGAGCAAACGCTTAAGGATAACGGATATGTGTACTTTTGGGACGATTTACTTGAAATTCTTTTTTGTTTATGTTCTGGATTATTTGAAGTACTTTTGTTTCCTTGTTATGGTCCAGGGACCTGAAACCAAGTTCGATATCGTCGAACTTTTCTCGAACACTTTCTTTGCGGGAAAGGGATCTCCCTTAGATTATACAATATATAAACATAGATCGTGCGCAGATTAGTTCGTCTTCCATTTTAATTCTTTGTCGCTACGGGCTCACATGCAAGTGAATAAGCCTAGATCCGAATGGTTTATTTGGCATACTTCGTCATTCCTCGATCAAAATATTCAAATCAATTATAGGGATCATACGTAGCTGAGTGACCGAGCTACCCTCGCTGCAACAAACTAAGATGTCCACGATCTCAACCATACTCTTCAGTCTAATATTGAAAGCTAAGCGGTAAAATATAACACATTAGATACCGTTTTGGTAGCAGATGAGACAGAAATTACCAAAAAACATTTTGAAATGCTTTGGACTTTTCAACGGTCCCACCGCATGTGTTAAATTTGATGATCGGTGTGCTCATTGTAGTGCTACGTAATTTAATCAGCCAAAACTATGCTACTGTATTCGACGTGCGGCAAAAAATTGCAGCGAAAAATAATAGAGCAGACAATTATGACCGAAACCTTCTTTGGGCGATGAGATACTCTCTCTTTGAAATCCTATCATTCCGTTCTATACTCCTTTTAAATTCAAGCGACTAAAGTTCCCTGTTTGATCAGGGCTTGCAATCACACTCAAAAGAGTCCTGACTCAGTTTTTGAAACTGTGTTGTATACAAGTACATTGTATGTTGCATGCTCGAGGGACG